GCCACTTTGGGTATTGATGTTGTGGTTCTGGTGATGTTTTTGTTTTGAATCATCTGATTTACTTTCTGGTTCCTGCAATATATTATCCAACACTTTTTTACATGCTTCATGCCTAAGTTGTCTTTTCAACATCAGTGGATGGCAAGATCAAAATATGGTTATATGATAGGTTTGAAGGCAGTGCGGTACCAAACTGGCACATAGTGCTGATGTTCAAAGGTTCAACTTATATGGCCTGCGATTCCCATCTTTTATTTCCTGATTGATATCTTTGGGTGAACATAGTAATGTTAGTTTTGATTGAGGTCATGTAGGCTTTTTTTCATGTGGGATCAGCCAAGGAGGGAAACAATCAGAGCCAGGAGCGACCAACTGTAAAAACATGGATTTGTTTTTTTGTTTTTTATATTAAGAGAGATTACATGAGCCTCAACTAAACCAACATCTTCCATTGCAAAAATGCGATGAAGTGAACATTGAACTCCTCTCAAAGACTTTTTTTATACTTATTTTGTTCGAACTACACAAATATAAGAAATCCAGGCCAGAATTTCTTCTTTATGTCTTCTTTATGAATTTCTGACTCCTCAATCTTCTGCTTTCAAATACTTCATTCCTAGTCCTAGATCGAGGACACAATACAAAGATCATAGTAACCAGTACTGTGTTGTCTACTGGACTGCTAATCCTGGGCCTAACCCTGCTATTATATGTGAGGAAGAGCCGGCAACAAATATATGGTAAGCTATTTGATTTTCTACTCTTCTGCCCCTCCATCTTCTAAGATAGGTAGGTTCAGTTCTATAGAAATTTTTTGCTGTTGCCTCTCTGGTTTCTAAGCTAAGGTTCCATGCTACATTATTTACTTCACTACGTACTTCACAGGAGAACTGAAGCCCGGCCAAAAGGAAGATCTGGAATTACCATTATTTGACTTGGCCGCTGTTGTTTGTGCAACCAAAAACTTTTCAAACAACAATAAACTTGAAGAAGGTGGTTTCGGATCAGTCTTTAAGGTAAAATCAAATACAGTTCTTCCTACAGTTAGCTTGACAGTTTCCACATGTCATTTGGGTCAGGACTAAGGTGGTGTAATTTTTATTTTTTTTATTTTTTATTTTTTCTGTTCTTTCGTGGGTTGGTTTTGTGTTCCTATGAAAGAGGAGGAGGAGACAAATCTTTCTTTCTTTCTTTTTTTTCTTCTGTCAGCAAAAGGAATTTAGAATGGCCATTTTCCAAATTAAGCACACATCTTATAATGAAATCAAGATAGGAACTTATAACCAGCCCTCATTAGAGTACAATGTCCAAAAACACAATATGAACACCACACCACTCCACACTCAACACACATAATTGCTCTTCAGTGTTGTAAATAAAAAAAAAAGATGAGATATCGCTTAGTACAACAAATAGTTTTTCATTCCTCGTCGCCCAAATCATTGAACGTTATTTTTTTCTGTTCTTCGTGGGTTGGTTTTGTGTTCCTATTCCTATAAGTTCCTATCTTGATTTCTAATGAGGGCTGGTTATAAGTTCCTATCTTGATTTCTTTTCTGTTCTTCGTGGGTTGGTTTTGTGTTCCTATGCAAGAGGAGGAGGAGACAAATCTTTCAATTTTTTTTTTTCTATCAGCAAACAAGAGGGCATGATTAAATATCAAAATCTATAACAGAAATAAAATATCCAAAGAATGAAAAGCAGTCCAACCAAGAAGAACCATCAATGGATGAATATTGAATGCATAAAGATTTAGTAAGTTTCAAGCAAGAAGAACCAAACGAATCAATCTATTGCTTAACCAAACCAGAAATAAATAGTCAGAATTTGAGATTGGGGCCTAAAAACCGAACCTTGTTATTGGCAAGACCACCGAAACTCCATGATAGGATAGCTTCCTCATTTCCTTCCACCGAGGACAGACACCAAGTCAGCAAATTTTGTATTTAGGGTTCCCATGACTTGTGCTTGCTTCGGCTTCCAAATCTCAATCTCAAGCTCAAATTTGCAGGTAAACTTTTTCAATTTCGGGTTGCAGACTTTCAGTCAATCGCAGTGTTCAAAAAATGGGGCTAGGCGGACGGCTAGGCGGCTAGGCGGCTAGGCGGGCGCTAGGCGGCTAGGAGGGTGCTAGGCGGCTGGGCGGGCCTCCAAGGCG